CCGTAATATTTTACAGCATAAACGTGAATAGAATTCTGTGCTCTATAGAACAAATTAGCAGTAACAAATTTCACGAAAGATCTTCACTAAGAATGTCTATTCCTCAGAAGAAAAACAATCGCAAATAACTCCGTAATTTTAAATCTCACAGAAAAATTAGTTCATATTTTCATGAAAACTACTTATTTATAAGTAGTTCATTGTTCCCAAGTAAGGGTCTAATAATAGCAACAGTTACATGAGGTTCATATCTAACCTGCTTCACTGTCGCTTGAATCACTGGAGCTCGAAGAAAGTGAACTACTGCTGGAGTCGCTGTCACTGCTACTACTGCTTGATGCCGACAATCGCGAAGGCCCACTGGCTCCTCCAGTTCCAACTACGTCAACCGACTTACTACTGTCTTCTGTAAACAGTATTTTAAATAAATGTGAAATTGAACATTTTAAACAGTATGCTTTCACTTATAGGTTTAAAATTTAAGCAATTTTATTTCATGGAATAGCCAAATTACTAACCTTTCTTAGCAGTTTTTTTAACATTGCCTAACTGCCCCGTAACATCTTGTAACCTTTTCTCTAGCTCCTGCTTCTTCTCCGCCATTTGTTCGTCCTTGGATTTACCACTAACTTTTTTATCTGTGAACATCAAAATTCGGATACTTTAAGGATCTACACGAACTTTTGACTAGAACTTTTAAATTACATTATTGAAACACTGAAGTTAACGTTGTTCAATTCACTGTTTAATAAACGTGTTCTAAAAATGTATCACGAGTACAAGATGGCACAAAAGTAAACAAATAGTACAATAGTAAAACAATCTAATCTTACGTGGCTTTTTTCTGAGACATGAGGCGACATAGCTTTCCAATTCCCTCAATGTGGATGGTTTTAGCGTTTCGAAGTCAATTTCTATCTCATCTGGATTTGAGTCCCTCAATGAAGGTTCTCGAGATTGTATTATGTGTACGACTCGTCCTAATTTATCTCCTATAATATGAATATAAGCAACATATGTTGAGAATGAACATGATAAAATGTATCTTCATACTTAGCTTTACATAACACAAAAGTCATAGCTCACCAGGCAATTTATTAATATCCAAGCTAAGTTGCCTCTTCTCGTCATAAGACATTGGTTTAGCATTGTCTTCGTCCTCCGAATCAAATGTAGTAGGAGGAGGTTGACTACTGGCACTTTTTTTCTTAGTTCCAGCTGATCTACTGTTCGCTTTTGGCCTTTTATTTGCGGTATTTGCTGCTGCAGCTTTTCCAGGTCCTCTTCCTTTTCCTTTTTGTTTAGGATTCGCCGCCGTTGGCAAATGATGACTCATGCCTCCTGCTGCATGAGTTTTATTAGGTCCTACTGTTATAGCTGGGTGATGAAGATCACCACCCATACCACCAGGCATTTTCAAATCACCTGCCCCCATTGCAACACTAGCTATACTAGCACCAACACTGTCAGAGACGTTTGGAATTCCACCACTTGGTTTCATCAGTTCTTTCATGGCACCAGTATGACTGGCAACAAGGCTACTACTCTTATTGCTCATTGGCCTTGATTTCGACTTATCAGGTTTCTTCTTTTTACTTTTCTTTTTACCACTTTCTTCTACTAGTTTCCTCATTTGTTCCTGCATAGCTTTAAGCTATATAAATTATTGTTTTTTTTTTAGTAACAAATCCATAATAATGCTAATCAGTTGAAAAATTCCATATACACATATATAATATACCTCTTGCTGCAAAGCAACCAATTTTTGGGTGCGTTCCTCTTCTGAATCATCGCTCTCCGAAGAACTTTCAGATCCCGAACTGCTAGCACTACTACTGCTACCTTTCATACCTACCATGCCTCCCATGGGTTCATCAGGAATTTTCGCATATCTGGATTATTAAAAATTTTATTTTGTGGAATAGTAAGATTAAATAAATAAAAGCGCTATCTCTACTATTCGTAGAAACAAACCTCATTTCGAAAACATCCTGAAGTTTTCTAGCCATTGCAACAACATCATGATCAGGAGGATTATATTTGTAACAATTCGTAAATATAAGTCGTACATCACTCGCAAACTCTTGTGCAGTTTTATACTCTCGATTATCCATTTTTGTCTATAAAAGAGTAAAATGAATTATAACATTAATTCATGCAGTCGCATACCCAAAACTATACAAACATTTTAAATGTATATATAATATAAAAAAATTAAGAGTATTACCTTCACGGTACCAAGATCCATTGGTTTCTTTATTATATCATGATAGTCATGTAGACCTAATAATTCCGCATCTACTGGTTTGTAGAAGGGCCACGCATAACCCTACAAATTATCAATATTATTAGAAATTAATTGTAAAAATGTCCACGATAACCATATTGTTTTGTATATTTCATAATAATTACCGAATGTTTCTTTGAGAACAATTCTTTTAAAATTTCATTACAAAATTTCAAAGCTTCAGAAAGTTTTTCCTTCGACTTTCCAGTGGTATGTTGAGGCTGTAAAATAATACGTAAATAAGAACAATTACGAAAAAATGTTGAAAGTGCGTTTAAAATGTCATAACTTAAAAAAGAAGCAGTTCATAGAAGCGTTTTTAATACTGCACCCTATATTGAATGATGCATAGAAAGGTATACAAAAAGAACAAAAATATTAACAGAAAGTAACTTCTCACTTTCTTAACAAAAAGAATTTAGGTAACTTTTGGACTGGATAATTTGCGACACTTAATATGACAAGACAGCACAAATGGAAGGAAGGAGCATGAAGGAGTAGTAATAAATGTACCTGTTGGGCCATTGCCCCAATCAGGGGCATGTTGGCCTGGAATGGCACTAAGCCGTCTTCCGCTTGCCTCGTTGGCTGAAACAGCCACGTTACAAACTCTTTGTTAATGTATTAATGGCTGATGTGATCATAACGTGCAAGGAATAAAAATACTTGAATATATATGATGCGTATTAAAAATTCCTGTTACACATAAAATGATTTCAAGAAACTGAAAACATTTTTCTTATACATACAATTATTCTACTACCACAAGTTTCTCTAGTCGATAACTTTTTTGGTAGCAAATGATTAAATGATGAACAGGTGCGTGTTCAGCATGAAGATTGTACGAAGACACACACAATGAATGTTTCAAAATTTTAGAAGACTTAACGCGTTTCTAAGCTGATAAGATGCAAGAACATCATATTTTACCTTTTTTATTTGTCTGCCAGATTCTCGTCTTGTAGGTATTTTGGCATTTTTAGGATCCAGTTTATATAACGGTTCAAAAGAATTTGCGGTAGGTGTCGTAGTATCAGCCTTTCTCTTCACACCCTTTTTGAGCTTCGCAGGTTGCGACGGAGGCATAACTGTGGGTGCAGTGGGTACCTGTGGAGGAGGGGGTACAGCAGAGGCTGCTTGCGGGTCCATTGCTGGTTGTGCATGGTAACCGCTAGTTGGAGGGACCACTTGTTGAGGCAGAGAATTGTGAGTAGCCATGGGAGTGACACCCATACTTGATGGAGGAGCAATAGTAGTCGTATTTGTGCTCCCAGGTACAGACGCAGGTGCTTGTGTGCCAAGTGGAGGCATAGGGATAACGCCTGTCGTTCCAGCAGACGTAGCTGAAGGCGTTAGGCTATTTGGTACGCTCGAAGTAACTGCAGCTGCACCAGATGAAGGTCGACCTCGACCTGTACCTCCTGCACCCCCTGCTACTCCACTTACTGGTGCTCCGACTCTGCCAGCTTTTTTGCCTTTGGGTCCCTTTGGAACAGGAACTTCGAGTTCTACCTCGTCCTTTGGCATTTGTGCAACCTATATATTTTAGGAACATTTACAAATGTCTATTGCATGTTACAAACTTGTATGTAACTATATTTTTATAACACACACTGTTTTACATCAAATAAACTTTTAGTGATGATTTAACCTGTAGAGGGCCAGTAAATTTCCTCATTATAAGTCAGTAATTTTATTCTAAAACTTATTATATGTATATGTGAGGTATTTCTTTCACAAGGTTACTGTCATGACTCAATCCAATATATTGACTTTCCAGCCCCCTGAAGGTTAAACTGTATAATAGCTACCTTTGTAAGAAATAATTTCTCGAGAGCTTGTGCCATAACCACTACATCTTCCCCAGGTTTGTTGTAAACGTAGCAATTGGTGAACATTGTATTGAAATCTTGAATACATTCTTTCCCACTCCAATAATAAGTATTTTCTAATCTTTTTTTGATTGTGCCCAAATCCATTGGTTGTTTTATAATTTTGTGGTAATCCTAACAAAATAGAAAAATGTAATATTAGATTCCAAACTCATCTTTCCTCATATCTTTTTAGATTTAAATTCAATATGAACATACTGGTAAATTGAGTTTCTTGGCATCTACAGGTTGTTGAAAAGGCCACGCGAATTGATGCTTCCATACTGGTTTGAGCACACCTTTTTGGAGAAATTGTAGTTGATTGGTAACACGCCCTGGGCGATTAGGTGGTGGCACAACAGGTGGTTGGACTACACCATTGACTGGTTCCACGGGTGGTTCATCACGTGGTGGTGGTTCCTTTGGAGGAGCCGCTGGTGTAGTCGATGTCTTACCAGGTGCACTTGTCTGTATTACCAGCATTTATTACATATTTCATATCAATGAAACTTCCGTTATTAAGTTAGTACTATTGCTACTGTTACTCTGGAACGTATAAATGAAAATTTAAAGAAGTATTTATTTTTAAGCATAAAATCAAACCACTGCCTTTTTTTGTATATGATCAATATAAAATAACCTAAATTATAAAAATTATATCGTTTATATCATGCTTAAATGCTGCATTATAAATTTTAATGAAACCATTGCTTTTTCATGATTATACATAAAATATATAAATAGAACATAGTTAAAATATAAATGTATGATATTCATTTTGTAGAAGTACATTATGCCATCCATAATTTTATTTCAGCGCATAGATTAAATGATTTTAATAGACTTTCATGCACTATAAAATTAGATAAACCCATTCATGCAACGAGCAAATTAGGCTGCTAAATATTTAGATTCCATAACCACAGGCAAGCAATTTAGAATTTCTTTTTAATAGAAATTTAATTAAATATGTAATCAAAATGTATATGGATCACAAAAATATTTTCAACTGAAATGTAATGGCAACTCTAAGTCATTTCATACGTCATGCAAAAAAACAAAAGCAATAAATACTATATAAAATTGTATACTATGAACTTTACAAGTAATTGTATGATAAATTAATAAAAAGAAAATCCTACGAAAATTTAACATTGTATGAAACGACTTATTAGCTTTAAAGATTTATATCTCAAAATTTCATAACCAATTATGACATAATGAGCAAAAAGTATCTTGCTTCAAAAAAATAAATATAAAAAAATTATTAAAAAATTTTTTCTGTTATTTTTATATAAAATTTAGAACGAGTACAGAAGCAAAATTACAAATTGCTCTTAACACAAATTTGGAGCTGCCATTTTATATTTTTATCATATATATCCTAGTTGATACAGTACTCAACAAGGAATCTCACCTTCGGTATATTACACAGCCTTTCTCGCTCCTCCACATCTAACTGTAATTCATACATACCATTCAATCAAACAACGCTCAGTTTCATTACATTTAAAAAAAAAAATTGTGCTTAGCATAATACCAGGAGTAAGGACATACACAATGGTAGTTCCACATATTTTGGTTCCTTTCAAATAGTATAGTTTAGCAGTAGATAGCAAACATAAAATGCATTACAGCACTGATGGAATAAACTATGAATGAAAATAATGTATTTCTTTTAAAATGCATAAGAATTTGTATTTAAACATAATTTGTGCTTTTGTAAATGATTAAGGTTTCACTGAAAATATTTGCATATAAATACTATGCAAATCTGTACAACATGAAATATCTGTAGGTATAGTGATATATTTTTAATATACAAAAAAACTCTAATTTAAAGAAATAGAAAAATAATGTGTGCCTCTGTATGTTACTTAACATGTGTATCTACTACATGAGAATCATACAAAGGGAAAATGTATGTTTAACTGAATGCAGCTTTTATGTATAGCATTAGTAGATTAATAAGCAAGGTGCACTTAAAATTATGTCATAAAACCTTAGGATCATTGACTTACCGAATTATTTTGTGAGATAGTGTCCACCTGCTGCATTTTGGCCTCACTTCTGCAACAGAAAAAAATAGATATGTAAGGAACCTTGTAAATAAATATTAAACAGATTAAAATACTGTCCTTTATAAAGTTTTTAACCATATACTTGGGTAAACAAACATTTTAATTATGAAATATCACTTACATATAACCTGTCTTACAGTAACACCATAATTATAAGTATACAACATGTTGTATTTATAATTGTTTTCTTAGGATCAATAATTTTTCCTTTCATTCTTGAAATTTTGGGTTTTACTATATGTGTGGTGTCAATTTTTAATTGACAAGCTTTTGCTTACACATTTTATGAAATAACTATGTTTATTGTATAATATAAGGCTCATTGAGTCCACGATAATGAGCTTCACCTACCTTTCCGACATATATGGTACATAAATGCTACGCAGCAGGGTACTGCCTTACGTTGATGCTTGACGCTATGAGGCTTCATCAACAATTGAGATGGCAAGGATATATTCTGAATCGAGCATGGTAGCTCACTAATAGCTTGCCAAGATGATTGCGCTGCAACCAGGGAGATTGGTGCCGTGGAGGCATAACACTACTCAAGCCTACCAAATGGTAGTACTTTGAATGTCAGCCCTGTACACTGCTGTGAGACTCCGTACCTCCAGCCAAGACTCGCGACATTAGCAACATCTGGATAACATAACAACAGGACCCCGTATTGTAACAACCCCAAATTGTTTTATCGCTTTAGAGCAAGTTAAACATTGTTTTACTCTCAAATTGTGTAAATATTTATATATGTATAGATGTAGATATATAAATATATATATATATATATAAATATGTTGTAAATGTGTAATTTATTTAATATATCATGCAATACTGAATCTATAAGATACATGCTGAACATACAACAATTTCTTTTCTCCACTTTGCTATACATGAAATGACGATATAGAATTATAACTAAAGTTATTGAAACGTTCAAATTGCTCTTGTAAGACCTCTTAGAGAACCATTTACAAAAATTTTATAGTTGAAAACTACGCTTTACAAAGAAAAAATATTATGCATGTATCAATTT